GATGCTGCTTGGCCTGCTGTGTTCATCCAGCTCTACACCTTGTTATCCCGAGAACATTAACTGAGTTTCTGGATTGATAATCTAATGATAATACCACTAGGCCATTTCCCCCCACTTCTCTCATCTAAAGATCCCTAACTCCTGATGCTGAATTATTGCTACATGGGGAATGTGATCTGGCTCTATGGCCAAAAAAAAACATAATGCATGGGGTGATACAGGAAAGCTACTAAATTAAATACTGCAACTATCAGATTCCTTTGCAAACAACAGGGTAATTTATTTGACTGCTATTACAGTTGTACCTCACCATCGGTGATCACCTGTAATCTTGGAGTCACTAGCCACAATCACTCTGAGCAAGTGGTTGCGTTTTTGATTCATCTTTTTGGTTAAAATGAATCAAGTTGAGCAATACAGACAATGAGGTGGTCAGTACAAGGAGAAAACAGGCAGAAGACCAGAGGCTATTAGACTGAGCCCTTATTTTCTCTGGAGTTTTGGAAGAGATTGTATTGCTGAGATTCAGCATGTAGCCAAGAGTCCATCCAATGTCTCTCTGTCCAATCTGTCAAAAAAGAAACACCCAATAAAAGTCATTGGCCACCTCATCAGGTTTGCACATCCAACAATGTTTTGTTTGAAGCAAGCCAGTTCAAGGCTGTATGATTCTTCTTATAAACACATTCATGTTCACAATGCACCTAACCAACTCATTTACCTACCTTCTACAAAGATAAAGTATTCCTAGTGTTCAGGATACAGCACTAGGACTCACCCAATTGACCATTTTCATATGTGAGCTTAAATCATGTTCATTAGCCTGAAAATTGTGTGAGCCATCATAGAAGTTGAGTCCCATCTTCATCTTAGCACTGTGTAATAAGTCAAAGACAGGGACAGTGGACACTTAGCAGATTTTTATGTCTGTGTTCAATGTATTCATGTGGTGATGTATAGTTAGTGGCTAAGGAACAGAGCTTGTGGTGAGTAGTGAAACCAATGGTTTCAGGCTTATCAATGTTTCAAGGGAATGTTGCCTGAAGTGGTCCTGAAAGCTGATAGGTACCAGGACAAATCAAAGACAGTGGAATGGTGAGAGGTCCTGTCAGTATACAGGTCTGACATCACATTCTCAGATCTATTTTTGGTTTTTCCTATTTGTTACCTACATCTGAAAATTAATGCTGTGTTTCCAATGTATATTGACACCACCAAATTCCATCTCACCACCTCTCAACTCCTCCATTGTTGCTTAACTATCAGATGCTAATCCAATATTCAGTACTGGATTCACAGAAATTTCCAAGTTAATTAACTTTTGGGAAGATTACGGGCATTATCTTTGGACCCCTCTCCAGATCCCTGAACGCTAGCTGCCGACTCCTTTCCTCTCCCTGACAATTGTTTGAGACGAAGTAAGTCTGTTCATGACTTTGTCGCTATTTTATAGCAGGACAGGATGAGGGCATTCAGCCTATCATGTCTTCTGGCTCTCTGAACAAACAACTTACATAGTCCCACTTCCAACATTTTCCTGGTAGACCTGCAGATTATTTTTCTCTCTCTCAGGTAAGTATCAAAGTCCTTTTTGAAAGTCATGATTAAATCAACTTCCACCATACTCTCGGCAAGTGTGTTCAGACCCTCTGACTGAAGAAGTTCCTCCTCATCTGAGTTCTAAAGAGTCGTCACTTCACCCTGAGGCTGTGCCCCTGGGCACCTAACTCCTAATTCCTGTTGCAAGACATCATTTCTTTTTATACCCATGTCATTGGTACCACCATGTGCCATGACTGCTGGCTGTTCACCCTTCCCTTTCTTAACACCCTGCAGCTGCTCTGAGACTCCCCTGACCCTAGCATCAGGGAGGCAACATACCATTTGAGAGTTCTTGGCCACAGAACTTGCCTGTCAGTTCTCCTTACAATTTAATCCCCTTTCACAAAAACTTTCCCAGTTTTGTTTCCTCCCATGCTGTGCAGCAGAAACAACCATGGTCCACAAATTTGGCTGTTGCTGCTTTACCCTGAGAGGCCATCCTCTCCCAAACAGTATGTAACACACTATCTGCTTGAGAGAGGGATGGCCACAGTGGATTCCTGTGCTACCTGCCTATGATTACTCATCTTTCTGCTGGTCACACAATGCTTTTCTGTCTGCATAGTCTAATACCACTGATCACACCACATAGCCTTGTGGTGTGACCAGTTCACTAAACATGCTATCCTCAGCATCATGGATGCTCCATATTGAGTCCATCTCGGCTCCAGGCGCTCCTTGCGGTCAATTAGGGCTGCCATTAAATTCACTTCTTGCACACTAGAGGTGTCCTTGACTTCCTACATTTTGCAGGAAGAGCGTTCTCCTGCCATTTCCCAACTACAAACAATAATCGAAGAACAAATTACTCAACCTTACCCGCTACTCACCAAATCAGATTTCTCGCTCTCCCCCACTATTCCTAATAAACTATGAACCACAAAAATAAACACTTTACACTTTGTCTCCTTCCTAGTGCTAACTCTTTGTCCCTGAAGCTGGTTCCTAAGCAGCCAATCACCTCACCACTTCCCAGTGATGTCACTCCAATTGTTTCTCCCTGTTCAGACCCTGATTCCCAGTAATTAGGCCTCACAGACCTGACAGTTTTCATTTTCAAACCAATCTTAATCACCCAATCAGCTGCTTCCTCTTGCCCTGTGTCACCTTTTGAACTCTGACGTCAGCCCAGGAGCTCTGCTCTGGATTCGGTGAAGGTCTGCTCCACTCCTCTCCTGCTTTTTGCTCCAACTAAGCATGATCTGGGCCTCACCCTCAGGCTTTTGTTGTGAAGCTCTGCAACCACTGTTCACCAACTGAGCTAGTAGGGCAATATTCACTGGAGCTTAGAAGAATGGAGGTGGATCTCAAAGAAACCTAAAAAATTCTAAATGGCTAGACTGAGTTAATGCAAGAAGGATGTTCCTGATGACCAGAGAGTCCAGAACCATGGGTCAAAGTTTAAGAATATGGGTTAGGCCATTTTGGACTGAGATGAGAAGAAATGTATACACCCAGAGATTGGTGAGCTTATGGAGTTCTCTGCCACAGACAGCAATTAAGGCTAAAATATTGAAAGTTTTCAAGAGTTACATATAGTCTTTGGTCTAAAGGAATAAATGGTATGAGGCAAAAGCAGTATTTGGATACTGAATTGGATATACTGCAGTAATCTTCCAGAATCCTTATAGATTCTGGAAAAGTCCCAGAGGATTGGAAAACTGCCAATTTAATGCCAATATTCAAATAGGAGAGGAGAGAAAAACAGTAACTATAAGCCAGTTAACTTAACATCTGTCTTTGGGAAAATATCAGACTCTATTATAAAGGATATGACAGCATTTAGAAACCAATATTATAACCAAGTCAGTATAGCTTAATGAAGGAGAAATGCCTGATATTTATTACAGTTGTTTGAGGACAGAACAAACAGGAGAGATAAAGGGGAACCAGTACATGTAATATACTTGGATTTTCAAAAGCAGTTCGATAAAGTATGACACATTAGGCTACTCAACAAGAAAAATCCCCTTGTGTTAGCATGGATTGGGATTGGCTAACTAAAAGAAGACAGAATTGGGATAAAAGGAGATATTTACAGGATGGCAATCTGTGACTAGTGGTGTGACAGGAAAAATACAGAGACCATAATTATTTACGATATAAATGACTTGGACGAGGAAAGTGAATGTACTATAGCCTGTAGATGACACAAAAATAGGTGGGAAGCAGTAACTGCTGTTTTAGGTAAGCCCGTTGCAATGGTTTGGAACTTTGGGGGGATAAAAAAAACAGATCAAAACAACAGTACTGTAAAACAAGAGGGAGAGCAGGTACTATGTTGGTGATTGAAAAAAAGGTGCAGTGAACCTGCACAGCTGTCTGAAAGGGCAGTGAACTTTTACATGACTGCCTGTTCTGTTAAGTTTCAAGAGTGTCTGGACCTTTGAATTCAGTCTAAGGAAAATAAACTAACAGTGAAATTCACAGCTGACCTTGGACTTCAGTGTCTGAGAGCTGCTCAGCAGGGGAACAGATAAATGTTTTATTTTCAGTCTAACCATACTGTTTCTTTGTACGTCTACAATAGTGAATAGGTTTCCTTTGTTGTTTATATGGTTTATTGAGCTCTATTGGATTAAACATTTTAAATATAAAACATAGGTACCAAGTTATCCTAGACCAGTGTTTTTAGATCTGTAGATGGTTAAGGTGTAAAGATGGCCTTTAGTAGAGTGATGTGCTCTTCCTGTCAGATGTGGGAGATTACGGAGAACTTAAATGTTCCTGATCATTATGTCTGCAGGAGCTGTGTTTGGTTGTGAATCCTATCGGATCACATGGATAGGTTAGAGCAGCAGTTAAGAGGCAATAAGGAATTTACCGGAGTTACAGGGTGTGATGGATGGCAGTTTCAGGAAGATAGAAAAACCATAGTTACAGTCAGGTAGATGGGTTATCACTAGGAAAAGTAGGAGGGGTAGGCAGATTTGCAGGAGTCCCCTGTGGCTATCCCTATTTCAAACAAGTATGCTGTTTTGGAAAATGTAGGGGTTTGACATCCAAATTTCTGGTACCAAGACTGGCTGTACTATAATGAAGTGTACATCAGGTTCCAAGCGATCAATTTTGATAGGGAACTCTCTAGTCAGATATCAGAATGGTATGTTGCCTCCTGGGTGCTAGGGTTAAGGATGTCTCGGAGAGGATGCAGAATAATCTCAAAGGGGAGAGGGACCAGCAGGAAGTCGTTGTACACATTGGAATGAACAACAAGGAAGAGTTAAGAACAAGGTTCTGAGGCGAGATTTTAGGAAATTAGAAATAGGAGGATAGAGCAGATGAATGTGTGGTTGAGGAGCTGGTGCAGGGGATCATTGGAATCTCTTCTGGTGTGGAAGTGATCTGTATAAGAAGGACAAATTGCACCTTAATCGTAAGGGGACTAATGTACTGGTGGGGGCAAGAGCTGCTCGGGAGAATTTAAACTAATAAAGGGGGGGTGGTGTAGAGAGAGAAATAGTTACAAAAGGGATCAGTCTGAGACTGGTGCAGTTGGGAAAAGGAGCAAATCAAATAGTCAAGACAGGCAAGAGCAAAGCAGAAAATGAGGTGGGACTGATGAATTAAACTGCATTTATTTCAATGCAAGAGGCCTGACAGGCAAGTCAGATAAACTCAGGGCATGGTTGGGAACATGGGATGTCATAGCTATAATAGAGACATGACTCAGGGGTGGACAGGACTGGCAGCTTTATGTTCCAGGATAGAGATACTATACAAAGGACAGAAAGGGTTGGGTAGGGTGGGGAGGAGAGGAGGAGGAGTGGCGTTTTTGATTAGGGATAACATTACGGCTGTACTTAGGGAGGATATTCCAGGGAGTACACCCAGTGAAGTTATTTGGGTGGAACTGAGAAATAAGAAAGGGATGATCACCTTATTGGCATTGTACTATGGACTCCCCATTGTCAGTGGGAAATTGAGATGCAAATTTGTAAGGAGATGTCAGTTATCTGTAAGAATAATAGAGTGGTAATGGTAGGGGTTTTAAATTTCCAAACATAGACTGGCACTACCATAGTGTTAAGGCATTGGATGGGGAGAAATTTAAGTGTGTACAAGAAAATTATCTTATTCAGTATGCGGATATACCTACTAGAGAATGAGCAAAACTTGACTTTTTCTTGGAAAATAAGGCCGGGCAAGTGACTGAGGTGTCAGTGGAGGAGCACTTTAGGTCATAATTCTATTAATTTCAAAATAGTAATGGAAAAGGTACAGACCTGATCTAAAAGTCAGAGTTCTAAATTAGTGGAAGGCCAAATTTGATGGTGTTCAGCAAGAACTTTCAAAAGTTGACTGGGGGCAGATATTTTGCAAGTAAAGGGGATGGCTGGAAAGTGGGAGGCCTCCAAAAATGAGATAACAAGAGTCCAGGGACAGTATGTTCCTGTTAGGGTGAAGGGCAAGGCTGGTAAATGTAGGGAATGCTGGATAACTAGAGAAATTGAGGTTCTGGTCAAGAAAAAGAAGGAGGTATATGTCAGGTATAGACAGCAGGGATGAAGTGAATCCCTAGAGCAGTATAACAGCAGTAAGGAGTGTATTTAAGAGGGAAATAACAGGGACATGAGCTAGTTTTGGCAAATAGGGTTAAGGAGAATCCAAAGGGTTTCTAAAAATACATTAAGGACAAAAGAATAGCACACTCTCTCTCTCTCTCCCCCACTTCACTCACTCTCTCACACTCACACACACATGAATCTATGGGGTGAATTTGTATTTACACATACATTTTAATTTGTTCAAAAAGCACAGAATTTATAGACAGTCAGTCAGTATGGTGTTTTATAAATTCCTACTTTAGGAATAAAACCATTCTGACTCCAAACTAAAACACAAACAGATTCTAAACAAGGTCTCACACCTAACATGCATTGTCTGACCTAAAATGTCACCTCATTTTTACATTAAAAAAACCTTTAGTTCTCTTAGGACCATGATTTGAAAAGAATTCAGGATTTACGTATACAAATTAATCAATTAAAACCTTTTAATTGATTAATGATTTAGATTTAACAGCATCTTAGATTTGTTTAGTGCATCCTCATCATGGTGTGACCCTTTGATCTTTTAGTTCTGTGTCTGATACTGCCTCTCTCACTAACATCTGAAAAAAGACTCTGAAAGCTTGTGTTTTCAAATAAACCTGTTGGACTATAACCTAGTGTCGTGTGATTTCTGATATAATGAGAATGACGCAGGAGACCGCAAAACAATACAGACAGATAAAATGTTGGCAAGAAGGATAGAGGAGCTGAATATTATTTAAATGGAGAAAGGTTGCAGAAAGCTGCAGCGAAGAGATTTGGGTATCCAAGCACATGAATCACAAATGGCTAGTATCCAAGTTCAGGACGTAATAAGGAAGGGAAATGGCATGTTAGTCTTTATTTCAAAGGGAATGGAGTATAAAATTAGGGAGGTTTTACTAAAGCTGGAAAGGCAATAATCATACCACAGGATCACAGAAGTGTTACATCACAGAACAAGGCCTTTTGGCTTTTCCTGCCTGCATTGGCTCTGCAAAAGGCTTATGCCAATTTCTTGCTTTGTCCTCGTAAGGACAAAGGCAAAGGCACACTATTTCGATCTAAGTAATCATCCAATTCCCTCATGAATGCTTCCATTGAATCTGCCTCCACTGCATTTTAAGCAGTGCATTCCAAGCCCTAACTACTTGCTATGTGAATTTATTTTTTCTCACATCATCCTTGCTTCTTTTGCACATCACTTTACATCTATGCCTTTTCACTCTTATTTCATTTACAAGCTTCAGCATGGTGACTGTGTATGCAGGAATTCCATTCAGCTGGCACCTGGAGCTACAGATGGACTAAGAACATTGTGAATAGCATGTTCAGTGAGTTGGTCATAGTGCGAGTGAGGGCTACACAGACAGAAAAGAGTTGGCTGAACAACAGGAAGACCAATATGCATGGGCAGGCAGTGCAGGATTCCCTGTGGCCATTCCCCTCTCAAACAATTTTATTGCTTTGGAAACTGTTTGGGGAATGGCCTCTCAGTGGGAGGAGCAGCAGCCAGATTAGTGGCACCACAAGTGGCTCTATCGTATAGCAGGGAGGGTCAAGGTGAATGTGGTAGTGGTAGGGAACTGTGTTGTCAGGGCACGGGCATTTCTATGGCTACAAGCAAGACTCCAGGATGGTGTGTAGCTTCCCTAGTGCAAAGGTCAAGGGTATCTCGTGCACAGGCAATTCTGAAGGCGTTGGGTGAGCAGTCAGAAGTTGTGGTCCATGTTGGACATAGACATAGAGATAACAACCTACAAAGGAAACTTAGGCAGGTAGATGGTAGGATGAAAAGCAGGACATCTAAGGTTGTAATTTCAGGATTACTCCCTGTGCCACATGGTACTGCGGCCTGAAATAGGAAGATAGTACAGTTGAATGTGTGGTAAAGAGCTGGTGTAGGAGGGATGGATTCAGATATCTGGATCATTGGAATCTCTTCTAGGGCAGGGTGCCTTCTGGACAAGAAGGATGGGTGCACCTAGACTTGAGGGGCATCAATATTCTTGCAGGGAGGTTTGACAGTGCCACTCAGGTACATTAACACTCACATGATGGGGGATGGGAACCAGATGGTAGGTCAGCATGTGAAGTATTTGAAGAGATAGAGTGGCTAAATCAAGTATGTCTAGTAGGAAGAACAGGCAGGGCCATGTTAATGATTATAGGAATAGCAGTCTGAAGTGTATTTATTTTAATGCAAAGAGTATAACCGATATGGCAGATGAGCTTAAAGCCTGGAATAGAATGAAGGACTTTAATGTGGTAGCCATTACGGAAACCTGGTTGAGAGAACAGCAGGATGGACAGCTCAACGTTCCAGTATTTAGATGTTTCAGGTGTGAATTGGAAGGATGTAAAAGGGGTGGGTGTAGTTCCATTACTGATTAAGGAGTATGTCACAGCTGTACTAATAGAGACATCCTGGAGGGCTCATCCAGTGAGGCAATATGGGTAGGACTCAGGAATAAGAAAGGTGCAATTGCTATGATGGGTCTTCAGGAAGCCACTGAGATTTAGAGGAACAGATATGTAAGCAGATCATAGAAAGATGTAAAAAAATCCCAATAGGATTGTGGCAGTGGGTGATATTAATTTTCCTAGTATTCACTGGAACTCTCTTAGTGCCAGCGGTTTAAATGAGGCAGAATTTGTCAGATGCATCTAGGAGGATTCTTGAAGATAGTCCAGCTAGGGAAGAGGATATTAGTCCTTATATTCGGGAATGAATATGGCTTGGTGATTAATGTTTCAATGGGGGAGCATTTTGGGAACAGTGATCATAATTCCACTAGCTTTAAGATAGTTATGGCAAATGATAAGACTGGTCCTCAAGTGAAAGTGCTAAATTGGGGGAAGACTAGTTACAAGACAGGATTATTAGACTGGAACTGGAAAATCTGGATTGGGACCAGATGTTTGAACGTAAATCCACATCTGATATGTGGGAGTCTTTTAAAAAACAGTTGTCCAAAGTTCAGCATCAGCAAATTTCCATGAGGATAAAAGATCAGGATGGCAAGATTCAGGATGATGTGATATTTTATAAGTTTAGTTAAAAAGATTTGACCACACATGCAAGAATACCCAATTTACAGACTTTGGAATATTCTTTTCTAGCCTTGATCCTCTTTCAATCATGGTTTTCATTATTACCACAGCCTCGCATACCCATCTGCACCATCACTAATCTTATTTACAATATTCCACACATTCACATAAATGCATAGTAATCCTAACTTAGGAATTCCTACATTTCTTTTTACTCTAAGCTAGCCTATTATATTATTAATATTTGACCCCAAGATAAGCTTCTGACCACATATCCATACCATAAATATTTCCAGTTCTGTAACACTGGCTATCTATACTCCTACCTCAGCTCATTTGTTGTTGAAACCTTTGTCATTATCCTTCAACACAGGACTATTCCTATGCATTCCTGACTGATCTCAAACCTCCCATCTTCCATAAACTCGAGTCCATCCAAAACTGTTGCACCAAATCCTGCTTATTCACTATTCCTATGCTCACTGACCTACACTTGGCTTCTGGTTAAGCAAAGCCCATTTTAGAATTCTAATCCTTGTTTTCAAACCCCTCCATGCCTTGCCGCCTCTTCAACTCTCCTCTAATCGTGGTCTTTTGAGCATTTAATTGTTTCATCGTTGCTGATCAATTTAGCTTTCAAACATTACACTAAAAGTGGCTATATATTTTTAGGTGGTTGTTGTCCATGTGGAATGTCCATGTTGTGTTTCAGGGTAAAATGTTCTTACTTGATAAACCTTGCATTTTCTCTATCATTTAACATTTATAACTTCAACTGAATCAATCCTCTCTGTTCTTTGGCTATGATTGTACCATCCTCCCATTATGAGCTTCCCAAATCTCCTGTTAGGAGCCCCTCACTGGCACACAATAATTGGCATTCAAACTTCAAGATCTAGCAAAGATCTTGGTCCATCAGTGTCATGAGATTGCCCAATCACTGGGGGCTGCTCACTCCATGGACCAAACCTTTGGGCCTTAATCTTTTATTCTCCTTTTCTCCAAGATAAAATGCTAACTAGCTTGTCAGACTATACTCCAGCTCACTTACAGCTTCTCATAAAGGATTCCCTCTTCAATGGTCAGATCGGGGGTGAAATCCACAAATCTCAATCCACAAAGCAAATCTGTTCATCATTGCTTGTTGCTTTTTGTTTGCTTTGTTTGTAGGTCTGACCCATGTATTTTCAGCACTTACCTTCTTATCAAAAACTATATTCTCCCAGGTGCTGGAGTTAAACTTATATCCGTTGACTAATAAAATATGGATGTAGTTTGCTGAAATACAGTAGTCTCTTAGTTGGTCATGCTTCTCATTTGGGTATGCAGCATTCACCTGTAAAATCACACAAATTAAATCTTTGCATTGACAAATTCAATCTTAAGCCTAATAATTGCCTACTCTGCCTTTTTTAATGTGTTGTGAAGTTGGTTAGAGTACTTGTAAATTAGAAGGCAGGATATTAGAATTTATTTGTAAAAGTGATAGGAGAAGAGCGTGTGGTCCCTTTAAGAGGTGATGTGTTTTTCTAAACTTGGAGATATAAAATGAAAGTCTGTAAGCAGCTGCGGATGCGCAGACAGGTCTGAAATTGAAACATTTGTATCAATTGGCTGTGTGATTGGCAACCTAGGCTTGTTTTGACGTTAAGGCAACCAGCTTGAATATCAGGTAATTAATTGAAACCAGGCCCTAGATGCCAAAACCCAATTAAATATAAATCTGATGGTGTTGACAACCTAGGACCAATCCTATTTTAAGAAAATTGACTGGTCATCAAGGGTATATAAGAAGAGGGTTTTTGAAAATCAGTGTGAGCACAAACTGCCATCGGAAGAGTAAAACTCTGGCTCTCACAGCAATCTTTAAGCTTTCTGATTACGCACTATCTTGAAGGTACCATGACACTCTTAGCTAATATTCCTGACACAAGGATTCGACGAAGGAAGAATTCCTGACTGAAGAATAACAGAAAAGGCATGGAACATACCAGAAGACACATCCTGACTATAGTTTTGAGAGTCTAAGTTTTAATTTATTTTTCTTATTACTCTGGTTTATATTAGTGGGACTTGTACTTATTGGAACAGCATGCCATTCGAATTTTGTTCTGTTCGGGAATAGTTCGTAGTTAAGGGGGAATTGTTTGGTTTGTTAGTCGGCCTATTAATTTGTTCACTGTTGGTTAGACAAATAAATTGTTACTTGTTGCTTATAAAGTTAGTATCAAGGGATTTCTTTCATTTAACCTCTCCTTTATAACAGATTGGGTGGTGAAAGGCAAGTTTTTCCCATTTCCTTTAGCAGAATATGAGGCGAGGCCAGCTTCTCTGGTTATTTCAGTTTTATTATTAGAGGGATTTAACCATCCCCTCCCTAACAAATGCAATTTGTTGGTGACCAACAAGGCAAGAATTACTCATTACTTGCTGTCCCAAAGGAAATGAACATCCAAAGATTGAAGTCACCTTGAATACAGTTCTAAAAGGATGTGGGAGAACCAGATTGCAGTCTTATTGAGTCCATTATAACAATTTGCCATCTTGGTTTGAAACCTGTGAGTTCTGGGATGCCAATCACTCACTGAGTCACTGGATAAAGCTAATTACAATCAGGCCACATTTACAGGATGAACAGCTTTCTGGTTCTCATGGCTGACACAGAAAATGAGTTCAAAAATCTTAAACCACTTTCAGTGGCTATCACCTCTTTGTGCTATTGTTTCTGAGGAGAGCACCAGGTCAAATTGTGCTAGGCATTGGTTTCTCATCCTTTACCTCTGTCCAGTTCCGGGTGCAGAATTCTTCAATTGTCCTCTTGGCCTTATTCAGACTTGGGCTGTCTGAAGTTAAATTCAAAAAATGGAAGACATGGAAAAATTCTGAGAAGGCCTAAGAGGGACGAAGTAAGGCACAAGGTTACTTGGGACTCATCAAAATCTCTCTCAACAAGTCTGATAAATGAAACCTCAACTGACTGCCTGCTATACACAACCAGGGGGCCTTCCTGGGATTGTTGGCCAAGTATCAACGGGGAGCCATCCGTCAGACTTGGACTGTATGAAGAAGATGTGACCCACCAAAACAAGTTGTGTGGAAGAGGCTGAACTTCCTGATGTCCTGTGTCACTAGGCCAGAGAACTGTTGTTCAGAATATCTCCTGCCCTCAATAAATTTTTATTGGTAGAAAAACAGGACAACAACAATCTGCATCTTACTTTGATTGTAACAATGCCAGAGAAAGTATATCTGAGGGGAAACAGTGCTGGGCTCCTTCAGAGAAAGGCAGGGAGCTAGCATGAAGTCAGAAGAAATCAACAAAAATAAAATCCTTTATGAAGTACTGGTTCATTCTCAACTGGGATACTGTATCCTTTTCTGGATATTGCACTTTCTGAATGATGTGAAGGATTCAGAGAGGAGGTGGAAAAGTTTCATAAGGTTTCAGGTTGAGGGACTTCACTTCGATGGATAAATTGGAGAATATTATTTGTTTTTCTCAGAGAGTTGAAGGTTGAGTGGAGATTTAATTTAGGTTTTCAAATCATGAAGGATCTGGATCGACGAAATAGAAACTATTCCCATTGGCAGACAAAGTCAAAAGTCACACGACACCATGTTATAGTCTAACAGGTTTATTTGGAATCACCCAAGCATTCCGAGCACAGCCCCTTCGTCAGGTGCAGTGAGAGAGCAGGGCACACAAACACAGAGTTTATAGGCAGAGAGATCCAAGGGCAGAGATATCAAAAGATCATGCAACTGGTGTGAGTGGAGTGTCAGATGATAAGTCTCTCCAGGTAACCAAGAGTATTAGATGGTGTGTAAAGTATTTATAAAGTCAATGTCAGTGCTGTGTTGTCATGACAATCAGGCAGAGCCATAGGAATATAGAAAAGGTGTCATCTCAGGTCAGACACTGAATTGTTGGTGTGAGGCTTTGTTCAGAACCTGTCTCAGAGTTTTAACCTGGAATCAGGCTGGTTTTATTCCGAAAGCTGGAATTTATAAGATGCCACACTGACTGACTATGACTACAAATTGTGAGTTTTTTGAACAAAATAGAATGTATCTGCAAATAAACATTTTGGATGAAATGAATCACCCCTTAGATGTGTGTGTGTGTGTGAGACACGTGCTTGAGAGAGTATGTATGTTTGCGAGTGTATTTGTGTGAGAGATTGTGTGTGACAGAGAGTGCAATAAGTAATTCAAAACTGTACAAACTAATTAAGGTAGACAACTCATAACAATTTATCAAGGTGATGCTGTCAAAACAGGAAAGTAAGGAAGATTTTACAGATACAGAACAGTATGGTGGGGTCACCTGTAGCACGACAGGAACCCAAGATCATGGTTGAGACTTTCTCTATGAGTGCAAAACTTGGCCATCAGTCTCTGCTCAGTGATTCTGCATTGTTATGTATCATGGAGTCAGCCTGGGAAGACGTTTACCCGAATATCAGAGGCTGAATGCCCTTAACCGCTGAAGTGTTCCCCAACTGGGAGTGAACATTTCCATCTGGTGATTGTTATGTGGTATCCCTTCATCCATTGTTGTAGCATCTGCATGGTCTCGGGGCATCCTTGCCTGAAGCATATGAGATAGACAACATTGGCCGAATCATGTGAGTATCTGCCATGAACATGGTGGGTGGTGATCCCACGTGTGATGATAGTGTCTTGCAGAGGTGGCCATGGCAGGGTTGTGTGGTGGTGTGATCGACGTTGTCCTGAAGGCTGGGTAGTTTGCTGCGAACAATGGTTTGTCTAAGGTTTGGCAGTTGTTTGACGGCGAGAAGTGGAGGCGTAGTGAAGAGGTTGGTGAGATGCTCATCATTATTAATGACCTGTTGAAGGCTGCGAAGAACATGGTGTAGTTTCTTCACTCTGCAGGAAGTACTGGATGACTCTTTCTCACACACATGCACACCCGCGCATGCATGCACATGCACATACATATACATCTAAGGGGTGATTCATTTCATCCAAAATGTTTATTTGCAGATACATTCTATTTTGTTCAAAAAACTCACAATTTATAGTCACAGTCAGTCAGTGTGGCATCCTATAAATTCCAGCTTTCAGAATAAAACCAGCCTGATTCCAGGTTAAAACTCTGAGACAGATTCTGAACAAAGCCTCACACCGACAATTCAGTGTCTGACCTGAGATGACACCTTTTCTATATTCCTATGTCTCTGCCTGATTGTCGTGACAGCATAGCACTGACATAGAACAGAGAACATAGAACAGTACAGCACAGTACAGGCTCTTTGGCCCACGACGTTGTGCCGAACTTTTATCCTAATCCTAAGGTCTATCTAACCTCTACCCCTACCTTATACTATCATCCATATGCCTATCTAATAGCTGCTTAAATGCCCCTAATGAGGCTGACTCCACTATCCTCTCCAGCAATGCATTCCACGCCACTACCACTCTCTGAGTAAAGAACCTACCTTTGACATCTCCCCTATATCTACCTCCACTCACTTTAAAACTATGCCCCCTCGTAATAGCTACCTCCACCCTAGGAAAAAGTCTCTGGCTGTCCACTCTATCTATACCTCTGATCACTTTGTACACCTCTATCAAGTCACCTCTCATCCTTCGTAGTTCTGAAGAGAATAGCCCGAGCTCTCTCAACCTTTCCTCGTAAGACCTTCCCTCCATTCAAGGCAACATCCTGGTAAATCTCCTCTGCACCTTTTCCAAAGCTTCCACATCTTTCCTGTAATGAGGCGACCAGAACTGGACACAATACTCCAGATGTGGCCAAACCAGGATTTTGTATAGCTGGAGCATAACTTCAGGGCTCTTGAACTCAATCCCTCTATTAATGAAAGCTAACACACCATACGCCTTCTTAACAACTCTATCCACCTGGGTGACAGCTTTCAGCGAACTGTGGACATGAACCCCAAGATCCCTCTGCTCTTCCACACTGCCAAGAATCTTTCCATTAACCCTGTATTCTGCTTTCAAGTTTGTCCTTCCAAAATGAATCGCCTCACATTTTTCAGGGTTAAACTCCATCTGCCACTTCTCAGCCCAGCTCTGCATCCTATCAATGTCCCTTTGTAACCTAGAACAGCCCTCCGCACTATCCACAATTCGACCCACCTTCGTATTGTCCACCCTTCCACTCCTTCATCCAAATCATTTACAAAAATCACAAATAGAAGAGGACCCAGAACAGATCCTTGTGGTACACCATTTGTAACTGAGCACCATGTTGAATATTTTCCGTCCACTACCACCCTTTGTCTTCTAAGGGTCAGCCAATTCTGAATCCAATCTGCCACATTTCCCCCTATCCCATGCCTCCTTACTTTCTGCATGAGCCTACCATGGGGAACCTTATCAAACACCTTACTTAAATCCATGTATACCACATCCACTGCTCTGCCTTCATCCACGTGTTTGGTCACCTCTTCAAAGAATTCAATGAGGTTTGTGAGGCAAGATCTACCCCTCACAAATCCATGCTGACTATCACGAATCAAAATGTGCCTATCCAAGTGATCATAAATCCTATCTCTCAGAGCTTTTTCCAATAATTTGCCCACCACTGAAGTAAGGCCTGTAATTTCCGGGGTTATCCCTATTCCCTTTTTTGAACAAGGGAATGACGTTTGCCACTTTCCAATCTTCTGGCACTATACCCGTGGATAGTGAGGATGAAAAGATCATCACCAAAGGCCCTGGGATCTCATCCCTCGCTTCCCATAGAATCTTTGGATAAATCCCATCAGGCCCGGGGGACTTATCTATCTTCAAGTTCCTCAAAATTTCTAGTACATCTTCCTTACTAACATCGACTTCCTCTAGCCCACCAGCCTGTTTCACACTGTCCTCCCCTACAACTAGGTCCCTCTCAGTTGTGAATACCAAAGAAAAGTATTCATTAAGGACCTCTCCTATCTCTTTAGGCTCTGTGCACAAATTCCCTTTACAATCCTTGATCGGCCCTATCCTTTCTCTGGTTATTCTCTTATTCCTCACGCAAGTGTAAAAAGCCTTGGAGTTTTCCTTGATCCTATCTGCCAAGATTTTCTCATGACCCCTTATAGCTCTCCTAAGCCCTTTCTTCAGCCCCTTCCCGGCTAACCTGTATCCCTCTAGAGCCTTTTCCGTTCCTTGTTTCCTAAACCTTATATAAGCATCCTTCTTCCTCTTAACTAGTCGTTCTCTCGAGAACCAAGGCTCCCTCACTCAACCGCATCTTTCCTGCCTGCTCGGGACAAACATATCGATCACATGCAGTATGCGTTCCATAACAATTTCCACATTTCTATAGTGCTCTTCCCTGACAGGATCTGTTCCCATTTTATGTTACCCTTCATTGACTTTAGACATCGACTTTATTAACACTTTATACACCGTCAACACTCTTGGTCACCTGGAGAGACTTATCATCTGACATTCCACTCACACCAGTTGTATGACCTTTTGATCTCCATGCCCTAGGATTTCTCTGCCTATAAACCCTGTGTTGATGTGCCTTGCTCTCTCACTGCACCTGACAAAGGGGCTGTACTCCTAAAGCTTGTGTGATTCCAAATAAGCCTGTTGGACTATAACCTGTTGAATATCTGATTTTGGCCACCCCAGTCCAACACTGGCACCTCCACATCATTGGCAGACAGGTCAAGAGCCAGTTGGCTGATAGAAAAAAAAAACTCAAGGGTGACACAAGGAGAAAACTGTTTACATAGTGTTATCGTGGATGGTTTCATAATTTAGAAATAATTACATTTTAGACGCATAATATTGAAGTTTCAACAACTTTCTTTCTTTATTCATTCATGGGATGAGGGCATCATTGGCTAAGCAGCATTTCGTCTCCATCCCTAATTACCCAGACTTTGCTGTGGGTCTATCATCAA